CATACAAGTTGATTCCGTATAATCGAGTCAAGAACTTCATGACGGTGACTCAGCATTTAAATCTCCTACAGGCAGATATGCCACCCGAAGACAGAGAGTTACCGAACTCTGATTTTGCCATAGTTTGCGTACAGGTGAAACAGAAAAGAAGTGGTGCGTTGGGTGGGAAAGCTTTGAAACAACCTGTCTCTTTCTTCTCCCAGTTCCCCTCTTTCCTGGAGACCTGGCTCCTCGGGAGTCTGGAGGTGCTCCCCGCTGCATAGCCACATGGGCAGCGGGTGAGTGGGTGGGGAGAAGGGTTCGCGCAGGCTGGGCCCTCGAGAGGCTGGGCCGCAGGTGTGTCCCGGTAGGTCCAGGGCCCCTGCATCCTCAGTGCCCTTTAGGAAGCACTCAGCTGGCTTGGACGATTAGCAATTTGGAGCGTGTGAAGCTGGGAGTTCAGAAATGGGGTGCGTTTCGAAGCGGGCTCATCAAGCGCCTGACCCCCTTCATCTCCTCTTGAGGACCTGGGCCTGCCTGTCCCCCACTCTGTCCACAGCCTCAGCCTCCCTGCAGCCAGCTCCCTCTCCCTGGGAGAATGGCTCTGGTTTCCTTGTGGCAGACAGGATTTGCTTCCAGGAGAATGCCGTGTGCACAGGGGTCTAAATCTGGACTCTCCAACTAATTGTCGATGACAAAGAAGGCACCTCCACACTGGCTGAGAGTAGACTCAGGCCTAGAACTGGTCAGTCCCCTAAATGTCATTGTTAGTAAAGGAGAGGGCAGGGAGGGAGAGGACGGACACTGAGCTTTCAGCTGTGCTGTGCACTGGAGTCACAGATGGGCCACTACGGCCACCACCAGCATCTCCTCCTGCATTTGGAAGGAATGCTGCCTGGGTTTACCAGTGTAATGAGTGCTGTGGGAGTGCTGAGCCTTTCTGTGCACAGTGGGCATTTGAAGGGTGTCAGAAATGTGGTTTTGCACAAAAGTAAGGCACCCCTGGGGAGTCCCAGCAATTACAGGGGAGGAAACTGAGGCAAAATCCTTGGCTAGGAGGTGGGGGCTGAGGAGCCAGGGAGCTCTGGATGGAGCTGTGGCATTGTATTTCTCCTCCACACTGGTGAGGTCTTGGATACTTGGGTCACACTTGGATTACTGGAGGTGCATTTTTCTCTTCTGCCCCACTCGGGTACAAGATTGGGGACTCCTCTTCACACATACTATGGTTCCTTAGGTGTCTGGGCCCCACCCTTCCTCTGGGCTGGGGCAGGGGCAGGGGCAGGGTGGAGCCCTGAGGCAGCTCCTTGGGCAGACAGAGCCCACAACTTGATCCACCTGCCCACTCGGACGTTTCAGCTAGCCTCTCATGGAGCCGGACAGGATTGCTAATGGGATCCTGATACCTGTTATGGACCGAATGTTTGTGTCCTCCCAGAGTTTTGATGTTGAAACCCTCGTGATGGTGCTAGGAGGTGGGGCCTCTGGGAAGTGACTGGGTCAAGAGGGTGGAGCCCTCAGGGATGGGATTAGTGCTCTTATGAAAGAGGCTGGGAGAGCTCCATCGTGCTACTGCCACTTGAGGACAAGCGGGAAGTCCTCTGTCCGCCGGCCTGGAGGAGGCCCTCACCAGAGCCTGAGCAGGTCGGCATCCTGTGTTGAGGCTTCAGTCTCCAGAACCATGAGAAATAAACGTGTGGTTTATAAGCTGCACAGTCAATGGTATTTTGCAATAGCAGCCTGCTGCACAGGCTAAGATAGTCTCCTAGAATGCGAGATTCAGGAGACTGTGTCGATGGGGAAAATGCCCTGGGGTGCACAGAGGGCAGCGGGGCCAGGGCAGCAAGCCAGGCCCCACTTCTTGCTGCCTCGAACTTATCCTGAGGACGTGGGATGCGGCATGTGGGGATCGGGAGAATGTGTTTGGTGCCTGGGGTGATGCTGGTGAGGCCAGGCAGAGGCTGAACATCCCAGGGCCTTGCGGAGCACCAGGCTTCCCAGTGCTGAACTGGGATGGGAGCAGGATCTGCTTTGGGGCTCCCATGGGCCTGTCCCAAGGGGACTGCTCCCAGGGAACGTGGCGTCTGCAGGAGCTCCATCCGCGCACCCTCTTCTGGCCTCTTCCCCGCTTCCTGCATTCTGTCCAGTCAGTAGCTTGAGTCGGTGGACGTAGGTGCATGTAGGCTGAAGTGGGATGACACAAAAACCCACTGCGCATTAATGACAGCTGCAGCCCCTGTCAGAGGCCGAGGGAGCCCCAGCTTCTCAGGGGAGTCCTGGAAACCCTGGGGACCTGTATCATATCCTGAGATCTGCCCCTCAGTCCCCTCCGCTGGGTCATCGCAGGAGCTAGATGGTGTGTGCTGCTATGATGTAGATAAGGAGGGTGAAGAGTTCCTCATCCTGGCAGGAGTGGGAGACCTGAAGTCAGGAAACTGCCTGCTGGAGCCTCTGTTCCTGGCATACACTTGGTGCTTAACACATGCTCGTTAAATACATGAACAGATACCTAAATAACATCATTCACTTTTTTCCCTTCTCATTGAGTGAGATGGTTTAGCGGAGTCCCCACCCAAATCTCATCTTGAACTCTAGTTCCCATAATCCCCATGCACGGTGGGAAGGACCCAGTGGAAGGTAATTGAGCCCCAAAGCTGAATGAGAACCCATGCCACTGATGGCTCCACAGTGACCAGGGACGCTGGTCACCAAAGCAGGCCCGGACTCAGGGACAGGTGCCAAGCCACAGACACACCCTCGGTTCCATTTCATTTCAGAATCTAAATGTCACACCCGAGACCTGTCAAAGTACCAGGTAATTAGAAGTGAACAAGAGGCAGACGTGGACTACAGGTTAGAGACCGCGCGATTCTGGGTGTGACACTGTATATAGCAGCTGAAGTCAGGGGCACGCCACGTTCAAGGCACTGTGTGGCACTCCTCTTGGGTTCTTTCCCTCTGTCTTTCCTGGGAGGCATAGGGCATCGTAACCCCATTTCACCCCTGAGGCACGGTGTGGGGAGAAACGTCACATTATTGGTCCTAGGTGATGGAGCTGGGAGTGGAACCTGGTGCCTTGGAACCTAGAGTCTGGGCCTGGAGCCATCCACCACACAGGTCTGGTGTGTCCATGCTCACAAAGTGCTGCCCGTGTTTCACAGGATTTACACTATGCTGAAGATTCTGGGGAATGCGGTACCTGTGCCTGCGTGCATTCCTCTTTGAGCAAGAGTCAACATGTAACCGGCAATATTTGAACAAGATGCTCACAGGTCCACTACGTTCTTGTGTCAATTAAGAAACAAAACCAAAGGTATCCCTGGTACTCCACTGGCTATGGAATCAAGGTGACACTCCCTAGGGTGGCAACAATCCCTTAGATCTCTCCAGAACATTCCATTCCTGATAAGCTTCCAGATATTTTACACGTGGAGTATACATCTTATTCTTCCTGTCTCCGCTCAGCCTTCCATCTGCCTGCAGCACCCTGTCGCTCCTCCACTTCTAAAGATCTTGTGTTCTTCTCGACCCAGTTCCAATACCGTCGTTTCTGTGCATCTCCGACTGCCAGGGCCTGTGTTCCTACGCCCTGTGGAAGGGTGCCCAGCGATCACACTCCCTCCACACGCTCTTGTCTCTTTCGAGCCTTCAATGCCATCTTTTGCAGCTTCTGCAGTCTACAAGCCTGGAACTCCGGACTTGACTGTGTAACTAATGGTGCATCTCCACTCGATATCCAAAGGCCTCTTCAACTGTACAGAACAGAAGCTCGACTTTCTCTAGGTTCTCACATCCAAGTAAATGGCACTGCCTTTTGCCCTGTTGTTCAGGCAGCACCTGAAAAGCATCCTTTACTCTTCAATGCCTCCCATGCTGCGTATCCACACCAAGCAGCAAGACTGTCTTTTTCTCCAAAACACACCTGGATGGGGCCTCTCCTGGCTGCACTAAGCCCCTGGGCATCACTATCACCTGGAGTGTGTGGACAGCCTCTGGTGGGCTCCCTGCTGCAGCTGTTCCCAGTCCTCTATTGCACAGAGCAGCCAGTGAGCTTTGAAACACAAATCAGGGCCTGACACTGCCCTGCTCTAAGCCCCAAGCTCTCTCTTGCCCTCCCAGCTTCCCCAGAACAAATCCCAAAGTCTCGGCGTGGGCGACAGGCCCACACCGCACAGCCCTACCTGCTCCCAGCAGGCCGCATCTCTTCCTGCTCCCCAAATGTGACAAGGTTGGCATCGCCCATGCGTGTGGGTTTCCCTCTGCCTAGAACCCTCGTTCCTTGCCATCAAAAATGGCTGTATACACATGACTTGGTCCCAGCTCCAAAGCCATTTACTCAGTGAGGGTCTCCCACCCACTCACCCACTCACTTCACCTTATTTTTTTCTTCCACACCACTGATTACCATCTGCAATTGAATGAAATTATTTACCGAATCTTATTTTATATTGTCCTACTTCCTTAGTGGACAAAAACTCAAAATTACAAAAGTAAGGACTTTGCCTTGAGTGTTGTTCTACACCCAGGTGATCAGAACCCAGAAACCTTTGATAACTTTGTGCTGAAACAAGAAAGGCTGTTTCCCTTGTCCGATCGTTAGTACCTGAAATCAGGAAACTGCCTGCTGGAGCCTCTGTTCCTGGCATACACTTGGTGCTTAACACATGCTCGTTAAATACATGAACAGATACCTAAATAACATCATTCAATTTTTCCCTTCTCATTGATTGAGATGGTTTAGCAGAGTCCCCACCCAAATCTCATCTTGAACTCTAGTTCCCATAATCCCCATGCACGGTGGGAAGGACCCAGTGGAAGGTAATTGATACCCCCGTGCTGTTCTCATGATACTGAGTGAGTTCTCACGAGATCTGATGGTTTTATAAGGGGCTTTCCCCCCATTCGCTCTGCACTTCTTGCTGCCACCACGTGAAAGAAGGATGTGTTTGCTTCCCCTTCCGTCATGATCATGATCATGTTTCCTGAGGCCTTCTCAGCCCTGCAGAACCGTGAGTCAGTTAAGCCTCTCTCCTTTATAAACTACCCGATCTTGGGTATTTCTTCTTAGCAGTGTGAGAACGGACTAATGCATCAAGGTTTTCAAAAGAGCTCTACCCACAGATCTTTTAAATTCCATTCTTTTCCTTTGGCTTCATAAATGAGTGAGCTTTCTTAAGGCTTATTATCAAGAGTGGCTTTCAAGTTTTAGGAGCACATTAGGTCTCTGAAGCCTTGTAAATTTCTTTTAAGTCACATGAAAAAGATCTTTACTTCCAAGGAGACACCTGGCTATGCCGGGGCCTTTGGGTTTGCAGGGCTCATCCTGCACTTTTGGGGTGAGTGAGAAAATGATGCTCACCTCCTGGCTGCTTCAGCCTCCAAGTGTCCAACGCTTAAATGAACAGACGGGGTCCTCCCTCTCAGGCCTCATTATTGAGGGCAAACTATCCCCCGTGACAGAGGCGGGCAAAGGACATTGTGAGCTTATTCAGCCCTGCAGAGGCGACACGCTGGGGATGTTCTCTTCCTAAGGCCAGAGATGCTTCTGAGGATGATGAGCTGATGCAGGCAGGGGTGGCTACTCTGCGCAGAGGGCAGAATAGTGCCGGCCCCCGGGATGGGCGAGAGGAGGGAGCATCCAGGAGCTGGGCCTGCAAAGGGAGGGACGGAGAGGCCCTGGGCCATGCTGAGGGTTTGAACTTGATCCTGAGGCCATAGGGGGCCGCAGGAGGGCTTTACACAGAACATAATTATATGGTAAGATGTAACCGTCAGAAAGTTATAGACGGCTGGGGTAACTACACGGATGGCAACAGACAAGAAGCTGGAAGCTGCTGGGAAGCTTTTGGGTGATCTGGGTGAGGAGGGAAGGGTGCTGTGCCAAGGATGGGGGAGGACAGCCGCCACTGGGGTGGAGATGCAGGACTTGGGACTGGCTGGGGGGCAGTGAGTCAGGATGGCCCACCCCTGGCCTGGCCACCAGGAGCACGGGGGTGCCATCCAGGAGTGAGACATGCGGACAAGGGGCAAGCCTGGAGGGAGAGATGAGTGCAGCTTTGTTTTTAAAAATTTTTTGTAAAATACACGTAAGAAAATTTACCATCTGAATCATTTTTAGCTCTACAGTTGAGTCTACTCGCATCGTTCTGCACCGGCTGTCTAGGGCTTTCTTGTCGCGAAAGTAAGCCCTGTCCTCCTTCAACACTAACTCCTCATTCCCCTCTGCCAGCCCTGACACCCACCCTGACACCCACCCTTCTACTTCCTGTCTCCGTGGGTTTACTGTTCGGGGGGTATGCAGTGGGATCGCACAGTGCTTGTCCTGTGGCTGGCTCCCCCGCCCGGCGTAATAACTCCAAGCCTCTTCCGTGTTGTGACGTGCGTCCGAATTGCCTTCCTTTTTGAGGCTGAATAATCTGTTGTCCTGCATGGGTGGGGCACACTGCATTTGTCCCTCATTGGCTGACGGACACGTGGGTTGCCTCCACCCTTGGCTGTTGTGGGGTGCTGCTGTGATGTGGCTGTGCAAACTCCTCGAGTCCTTGCTTTCAGTCTTGTGGGGGGAGAGACCCACAGTGGAACTGAGGGGTCACGTGGCGCTTCTGTTTCTAAGTTTTGTGGAAACCACCGCCCTGGGCCTAGTTTCTGACGTGTGAAGCTGAGGTCTCTGTGGATGCCACGTATGAGTGTGGAGCTGAGAGACTGGCATGAGCAGGAAGAATGGGGGCAGGGCCTGGGTGATGTCACTGTTTATGGGGAGATCCCCCCTTGGCCCTGCCCTGGGCCCTTTCAGCTTTCACTTGTCTCCTGGACTCTTGGCCCCCCAAGTCACACCAGACACCACCGAGGTGATCTGGTCTTGGGACCCCTGGGGCACAGCACACAGCTTGTGCCTCAGGCCCCAGGTGCTGGCTGCTTCTGCCCTGGGCTCGCTGCTGCTGCTGTGGATTTGGGACGCGCCCAGCACCTAGTGCTGCTACAGAAGAGTCCTAGGAGCAGGCCTTGGACTGAGGATGGTGAGGAGCTCTCCTCCCTTTGTCCTCTTGATGGGCCACTTTGGGCCTCAGTAGCTCAGGGGCACTCTCAGCCCTGCGAGAGAGCACAGCCAGCTGTGTTTGGAGCCCTCAGTGGCCAGCTGGGGACCTCGACTCTGTGTACTTGCCTAATCAGCCTCCTGGCCTTCCTCACCCCTCCTTGGGACTTCCCAGTAAGCAGCAGAGACAAGCTCGGGCTCAGGCTCTGCTTTCAGGGAACCAGTGAGGACAGAGCCAGGAGGAGAGCATGTGGCAAAACAGGACAAGAAGCCAGAGAGACTTGGTCACAGAGGAGACCGCCCTCTTGGAGGGTGCCTGGCTGTGTCTCGTGCCACCGAGAAGGCACATTAGAGAGGTGCCCGGCAGCACCCTGGCTCCCTTGGGGGGAAGATTTGCAGGGTCAGGAAACCACAGGCGGGAGGAAGCCAGCCCTCGGGGGCAGTTTCCGGAGGATGGGCTGCCTGCCCTGGGAGGGAGTCACGGGGCCACGTGCGGCGGATGCGTTTCTAGGTTAGAATTTTTTCTTTTCTTTTCTTTTTAAGATTAGAGTCTTGGGAATATTTCTCTGCTTATTAAAAATAATAAATTGAAAGGGATAGGCTGGAGTTAAAAGAGAATCAATGGACCAAGGGCCTGGAGGAAATGGGACAGGACCCAGCAGGTAGGAGGGGCTGGCTACAAACAGAAGAAGAGTGGGGCCCTGGGCCACTGAGGGGTGAGGGGCACAGATAGGGTGGGGTGGAGGGTGTGTGTGAGAGACAGAAACAGAGAAACAGACACAGAGAGAGCAGAGACAGAAACAGACACAGAGACAGAGAGACAGAGCAAGCAAGAGAGACAGAGACAGAGAGGGACAGAGACAGAGAGACAGAGAGACAGACAAAGGGACAGAGACAGAGAGGGACAGAAAGAGATAGAGACAGAGAGACAGAGGCAGACAAAGGGACAGAGAGACAGAGGCGTAGGAAGGCTGAATGTGGGCTTCACTCTGGCTTTCTCATTAGCTCTGTGCACCAGGGGAAGCCCTGTTGCTCCAACTGAAGAGGGCAGAGGCCTGGCAGCCTAGAGCAGGAGGACAGAACAATTCTCTGAGGATGGCAGCAGCACTGCTAGGCCCCGTGAGCCCTGGGCTGGAGCAGGGATGGCAGTGGCACCCATGTGACTGAAGCTTTCTCTAGGAGTTCTGGGAACACCAGGGTAAGGCGGTGGCAAACGGGCAGGTGCCGGAACAGACCTGTGTGGCAAGGAGGTGTGCACAGGGCAGGGTGCAGGAGAGCCCTCGGTGCTGGGCTGGGGACTCTGGGAGAGGCTGGAAAGGAAGCGAGGCTGGAGCAGGCTGAGGGGGTGCTGGGTGCCTCAGTGGGTCTAGAAGCACGGAGATGAAGTTAGAGCTGATGGCTTCAGAGGTGGGCTCGTTTGAGGTGGTGGTAGTCTGGGTGTCACCGCAGGAGTCACACTTGTGGGGATCCTCAGTGATGCTAGGCCCGGAGGTGATGGGGTGCAGTCGCTTTGCCTCCTTCAGAGGCTTGCATGGTGGCCTGGCATTTTCCATGCACAGTGCAATACTGAGCACGTGCCCACTGACAGTGGACAGGGAGCCTGATCTCAGTGCCCAATGCGTTTACTGTCCCTGCTGGGCCACCTAGCACGGCTGTTGAGAGAGACAGTAGGTACATTTGCAAAAGGCATTGAGTTTGTGAAGTGCCTTCATCTCCAGTGACTCAGCTTACATGACAGGTGCCTCATACATGGCTGACGAATGGAATTATGGTGGAGAAAAGGAATTCTGGGAACCTGCCCCGGTGGATCTCTTCCCATGACCACCCCGGGATCTCTTGCTCCTGCAGTGGCATCCTGATTTTCTCTTCTGTTCCCCAGCCTCGGCTGACAGAAGAGGGAACAGGCAAGGTGTGTCTGTCAGAATTAGTTATGACAGCAAGCAAAGAATAATTCCAACTAACAAGAGTGTGAAAAGGATAGAAGACTTCTCTGTCATAGTCAGGACGCCCGGAAACATTTGATCCTTGGCTGAGACGTGCCGCTGGGGCAGGGACCTGGGTTCCTCTTTAGCCCGCTGTTCCACTGTGCTTGGCTTCCGTTCCTAAGGTTGCTTCATAGCCCAGGAGAGCTGCCAGGGTGCCAGCTCTTACATTCCTGCTCAAGCCAGCAGGGAGGAAGAAAGATTATGCCCTTCTCTTCTGGAGCACTTCCAAGAAGGTGCCCAGGCCAAGTCGACTTCCATCCCATGTTCTGAACTTTGACGTGGCCGCAGTTCACTGCATGAGGGGCTGGGACACAGAATCTTGATTCCAGATGGCCGCAGGGAGAGCTCAAACTTGGTTTTTCCTGACTGAGGAGGACAGGCAGAATGGATACTGGACACGGTTGACTGTGCCCCAAAGAGAGACTAAAGAGCCGCATCTTAGGATGATAAAAGGTGACTCAGATGTGCTGTTGCTTCTTATTCTTTCAGGAAACAGGGTAATAATAAAAAGGAGAGTGCGGGACTTTGACCCTTAAAAGAATCAGCCTACTGGAGCCAACTGATGCAGGGGAAAAGCATTTGCACTCATGGGGAAGAAGAACAGTAGCCTGATCTCTGGCCTTTGAGTTTTAATCCACAGCTGATAGTAAACCCTCTTCTGATGTTTATGACGGGCACGAGTCCAGTCCGTCCAGTCCCTGACCAGATCAGCCAACGCCATTCCTCCAATGACACAAAGGAACGTTTTCCGAAAGCATGGCCGGCGCCCTCCCGCGACCTTCCACTGAAGCTCGCTCGTGTCAGCCTCAGGCTATGCTGTTGCCCTAGTTTAATCATTAATCACCTCACTTTTGCTCTCCAAAGTTTCCAGGCTTTGAGAGTAGTCTGAACCACCTGTGTCAGAAGTGCCTAGAAGCTTGCTAAAATGTGGATTTCTAGGTTTCATCTCAGAAATAGTCATCAAAACCCCTGGACGACCGGGCGCGGTGGCTCACGCCTGTAATCCCAGCACTTTGGGAGGCTGAGGCGGGTGGATCACAAGGTCGGGAGATCGAGACCATCCTGGCTAACACAGTGAAACCCCATCTCCACTAAAAAATACAAAAAAATTAACTGGGCATAGTGGTGTAGTGGCGGGAGCCTGTAGTCCCAGCTACTTGGGAGGCTGAGGCAGGAGAATGGCATGAACCTGGGAGGCGGAGCTTGCAGTGAGCTGAGATCTCACCACTGCACTCCAGCCTGGGCGACAGAGCGAGACTCCGTCAAAAAACAAACAAGCAAACAAAAAAACAAAACCCTGGACATAGGGTCTGGAGCGTTGCCTTTTAAAAAACATGCCATAAAACTTGAGAAGCAGTGTTCTCATGCTGTGTCTGCATCACCGCAGGCCCTCTGTGTATTTTACAGATAGGAGAATCCAGGTCTGGGGATGAAGGGACAGAGCAGGGACTTGGACTGAAGTCTCCCAGCTGTCATCCTCACGTGTTCCCCTACGGCCACCTTGCTGGAAGGTTGAGACTCTGGCCCTGGTTCCTTGCGGTTCAGTGCCCTCCAGTGGAGCCCTGACTGATGCCCATGCCACAGCTGCCTCCTGGGATTGTTCTAAAAATCAAATGGGGTAACAGCTGCAAAAGGGCTCTCAGTCAAAAGGCCGTTTGGCTGAGAGCGCATTTGCCACGATTACCTTCTGGGTGTTTTGGGGTGAGGCCGTGTTTTTGTATACTTACATTTTTGTTTAAGGATCTAATTTACGACCAGGACGTACCACACTAGGCATCTGGTGGGCGCATGGTGCTGCTGCATTGGCTGAAGCTGCGCGTCTCTGTTGAGTGAGAAGTTGAGCACATGGGAGGGTGGAGGCCTGTCCTGGGTCAGGCTGAATGGTGGCTGAGAGGTCTTCGGGCTCAGAGACGCCAGCCCACCAGAACCCCAGCATTCCCAGCCTCCTTAATGTGCTGGTCATTTCCTCAAATTATCCACAATCCAGCACCACCCAGAGTCCAAACTGACGCAGCTGCGTGTCTCTGAGGGCCCAGCAGAGCTGTCCTTTTGAAGCTTGGCTCTGGGCTGTGTCTGCACCAGAAACCGGCTCGGCTTGCCTGCCCTGCCCTGTCCTTGCTAACAGCTCCTATTTTCTTTGTTTAAGAAAGAGCATAAATATTATTAGTTGGCAATTTAGTTACAGAACCTAACAGGGATGTCTGGAGACAGATTTAGTGCAGAAGCCAACGAATTTGGATCTGTCTAGTGCCAAGTTTAAAGCTCCTTAAAGAAAGCTTTTTTGTTGTTTGTTTTCCTTTCTCTCTTCATTTGGTGACATGTCCAGGAAGTGTATGGCTGGCAGGTTGAAAAAGTCCTGGGAGGAAATAACTCGTGTTGGAGGGCAGCAAAGTCCTTCCTACTGGAACTTCCTAGACAAGTCCTTTGGGTCACACATTACTTTTACTAGACAAATCTCTTTTCACTGGACGTCTCCAATCTCAGGATGTGTGATAACTCAGACACCAGTTTGTTGATCTGAAGTTGCCTCCATCACATTCCGTGATGGAGGATTTACCAAGCAAATGTCTGAATTATCAATGCTTTGAAGTTCTGTAAGGCCCATTTTGAACTGTGGGAACTGAACTGTTGGTTGATTAGAGGCACTGACGCTCTGGGTACGGCGTGACAGAGTGTGAGAGCCATGTGCAGGGCCTGGGTTTGGAGCCTGGCTCTGCCCCTTGCAGGCCTTGGTCATGGAGTCCCTGTGAGCTGCTTATTCACCTGCCAGGGGAATGAGCGAGTCCTTCAAAGGAGGTATTGAGAGCTGATGACACAAAAGTACCTTAATACGCCTTTGAAGATACTACCTCAGACTCAACTCTACCACGAAGACTAAGACATCTCTGTTTGTTTGCCCTGTGAAAGCATTTAAGGACATTGCTAATTTCTGCCATCAATAAATTTACTGGTCTTATTCTATTGGGTCACTATAAAACTGGCAAGAAGCAAACAGTCT